ATTGGTGTGATTGTTGGAAATATTTATTATTACTATTAATCTAATAAATTAATAATCACCAGCTTAACAATGTCCCTTCGAAGCCTTCTATATGAATGGAATAGGAAAGAGTCTGAAAGAGTCCGTAGTCTTAAGATTGTTAATTGATCGAAGAGCCCGCTTTTGCAGCACCTTTTCATTACAGCACCATTTTCCCCCAGCAATATACCTGCAGTCCGTGAGTTTTGCCCAGTATTCGTCGTGTTGTCGTTGACAGCGCTCCCTATTCCAGGTCCTCAGCTGTCGAAAAGGTATGGGCAAGATTAGCCTTGGACCAATAGCCGTTCTGCTGGATCCTTCTCTGGCTAGGCAGTCCGCCGCATCATTGTGCCTTGAGCCACTGTGTTCTTTGATCCATTGTAATGTCAGCATACTGTCGTTTCATTATCATCATCAGCCTATTAATGTTCTCACTGCTGGGGCACAGGCCTGCCCTATGGATGGAATAAGGAGATTGGGCCATGACCCACCACGCGGGCCCAGTGCGGATTGGCGGTGCTAACGACGGCTTAACGTGCCTTCCGAAGCACGGAGGAACTCGAGAGATAGAAAATTTTTGGTTACCGTGACAATGACCAATATACAATGACCGACCACTGCGAAAGTTGCTTAACTTCAACTATCGCAGCCGAACGCGCTAACCACTTGCGCCATCGAGCTCCTCGATCGTTACATAATATGAGTCAACTTACAGTGGCGTTGATAGATTAAGGCTGATCTCATTATATTATTTGTCCAGTGCCTTCAAGACAAACGCGTTGTCTTTGCGGCCCTAATTATGCCTGCAATTAAAGCGCCCGTCTGGAGAAAAAACCTCCACCTTACAGACGAGTAAAGTAAAATAACACTACCTTTAGGTAGTGGTGTTTCTGTTCACAGAGTAGAGGATTGGATCAGGGTAGGCAACGGAGTGCGTGATATTTTTTGTATCGCAAGCGGCTATAGACTATGATGGCCGCGTACCATTAGTCGGGCTATATGCTTGTTTAGACTCTATAACAAAAAAAAAACAAAACTCATATCACTCCACCAATTTAATATTCTAGGAATACAACTCAAAAAAACGGCCAACTCTGAGTCAGACTCGCCTATAAAGGGTTCATTATGTGTAAGTTCTTGTAGTTCGTTGTAACTTTGATCGATGTTTCAATAATAGTGTATTTTTTTTAATTATGTTTTTTTTATTTTTATATTTGAGTTGATTGAAAGAAAGGTAAATTGCGGTTTACGATTTATGACGACGTATAAAAAAGAACTACTTACTAGATCTCGTTCAAACCAATTTTCGGTGGAAGTTTGCATGGTAATGTACATTATATATTTTTTTAATTTTATCATTATCTTGTTTTAGAAGTAACAGGGGCGGGGCACATTTTACCTTAGAAGTGTCTCTCGCACAAACTATTCTAGAAAAAAAAAATATATTAGAAACCTCAATATCATTTTTGAAGACCTATTCATAGATACGCCACACGTATGGGTTTGATGAAAAAACATTTTTGATATTGAGTTCTAAGTATGGGGACCCCCAATGTTTTTTTCTATTTTTCTGTGAAAATCTTAATGCGGTTCACAGAATACTCCTCACCAAGGTTCCATAGTTATTATAGTTACAGAAAAAAATGGCTGTGTCATACGGACGGACAGACAGACAGACATGACGAATCCATAAGGGTTCCGTTTTTTTACCATTTGGCTACGGAACCCTAAAAAACAGCCAAGTGCGTATCGAGCCATGCACAATGTAAGATTCCAACTACGGAATCCTACATTGTGCATGGCCTATCACAAAGCAAAAATCGCGAACTAACCTTTTTTTTTAATGTTTAATAGGCATGGCGTTTGACCACAATGATGAATGATGAGGCCTAGGATGGTACACACCTGCCTAGAAGGTGCCTGCCACTTTGGCCTTGAAGATGTCCAGATTATATTGGTCTGGGAAACAGACCTCGGTAAGGAGTTCCACTCCCTAGCCGTTCGCAAAATGAAAGCGGAAGCAAATTGCTCCGTGCGAATGGGAGGAACTTCGACAACATAAGGGTGAAAGCCCTCGCCGCGCCTGGTCGTAACGTAATAAAAACCGATAAAACACCGAGAGACAGGCTACACGTCTTCGATAGTCAAAGCTCTCGAGATATGCCTTAACGAGCCTATGAGTCTTTGCCTATGAGTCTCTTCGCACGGTGTTCCCACGAGTCCAGTGCATCCAGCTGTTACTGAGCAGATCCGTCCCAAAGGTGACAACAGTACTCCAAGCAAGAGCGAACTTGGGCTCGGTAAAGGTTAAGGAGCTGCTCAGATATAAAATATCGCCTGACTGTTTTTTGGCAGCGGTTTTAGCGATGGACTCGATGTAGCGGCCGACATTGAGGCTGGATGAGATGTCCAGATCTAAGAGCTCGAGATGGTCTTTAACTGACACGGGCACATTTCGGAAAGTCGGAGTCCAATGGACTAGACTCCGTTTCGCCGAGAAGAGACAGGCCTGTGTTTTAGAGGGATTGAATCGAACCAAGTTGGCTTCACCCCAGTGGGAAACAGCTTCCAGGGTTGCATTCACTCCCTTTATCTGAAAGCTCACACTTGAATAACAAATGATCCTAATTTTAATGATTAACCTTCTACGAAACGGTTTCCTTATTCAAATAATTGTTCTCACAAACCTTCAACGTCTTTGAAAAACTTATCCATTAACATCCCGTATCTGCTGGATGAGAGAAAATTTACTGCCTCACTTTAATTCTTCCCCCATCTCTGAAAATCTGAAATCTGTTTTTAGTACATTATGTATTAAAATGGCTACGAAGTGATACACTGCTGCGATAATAAAGACGCAATTGAAGTAACGCGTTCGATATTATCGACCGATAAAAACGCGCCTACGGGGTTGAGGCCTTACACGAAGGGGAAATACCCTAAAATATTTGGATTTCATGTTATTTTTTAAGCACTTTGTAGTCGCAACTTATTATGTAAGTCCATGTCAAATTAAAGCTTTCTTGCACCAATAGTCTGTCTGTCCATGAAACTATAAGGGCTCCTTGTAAACTCCAAACTTAAAAACAAATATCGAACAAGTTTTTCTCGTTTATTAGAAATTTTCTATGCATTGAGGTCCGTAACTTTCTGTGATTTCAACACTGAAGTTGGGTAAAATAATATTATTGTATTCTGTAGCCGGTCTTTATTGTAGAAAACAATTTTAAGGTTCGGAATGAGCTTTGAAAGTTGAACATTCAAATGGTAATGTAATAATGTTGAAGCCAAGTTTTCTTTGCCTAGATAGACGGTATTGCGGTGTTTGCATCCATTGAAGTATTTCTATTCTGTTGACATGTTTAAGTTATCATTTAAACTATCTAATATAAATCTAAGTTCCTGATTTTTATTTTCTTTAATGCTATTAGATTTATAAGTTTTCGTATGTTATTTTATTGTATTGAATAAAACTGCGATAGTGTTCGCATAATATTAAAATACAGTTTATCATATGCATTAGTGAGTTTATGCATTAAACTATAAATAAATAAATAAATAAGTATTTCCAATAATCACACCAATTAGCCTAGCCCCAAAGTAAGCACTTTAAGGCTTGTGTTATGGGATGCTAGGGTAACGGATAGAATACATATACTGTACATATATAAGTATATCTACATAGAAATACATATCAAACATCCATGACTGGAGTACTAATGTACAAAATATCTACCTCCATCGGGATTCTAACCCGAGACCTCTCGAGTCGGCGCCGGCGACACCATGAAACCTGGCGTACAAACCACTCGGCCTTGATAGAGGTCGACAAACTGTTAGAAGAATCACTTATAATAACTTACTGTACAAGTTTTACCTATTAAGAAGAAAATAACATTGTATATTTTTAGTTAAAAAATAAAAATGCCTTTAAACAGGTTGAAAATGCACTTATTAATATTATTCATATCTCTACGTTTCACATTCTTTACGCCTGTAAAAAGCGTTCTCAAGAGCATCAAAGCCCGTTGAAAAGAAGTTTTATTTAATGAGTGGTGCAGTGGTGTGAAATATGAGAAATAAATACTTTAAAACGAAGCTTTTGACTAAACTTACTACTTGGTTGGGTACTTGCTTGAAATGTAAATAAAATGTCACTAACTGACTGACAAGAGACTGTCGCTGGGGTTTGTGATTACAGACGAATACACCAAGGGATAGTGTTATGAAAATTAATTTTTAATTCAATATTAAATTTCCTGGTTTTATCCAATGTCAACAACAATATTGAGAATTGTTGTAGTTGTACATTTTAAATATTTTTAATCGCAGCTAAGTCTTATATATTTACAGTCAAGGCGGTTTCACACATTTTCAGTGAAGTTTACAATATGATACCTTAAGAGTTTACCCATAATTTTAATAATTCAAACTAAGAAAAAAAAAAACAATCATGCCTATTTAAATTTATTTAGATATAAATATCTAGTATTTTTTCTTTACTTAAAGTCTAGTATTTAAATGCTTAAATAAAACATCATAGAATGGGAATAAAATTTATACAATTTTAATGATTTTTGTCATATATTTGAAATAAGTATATTTAAAATATACCATTATTCTGTGATAATATTTTCATGACGTAACACTGGAAAAGTCAGCAGAGACAATGTAAAGTATCAAATATGCGGTAGGTACTATAAGCAGCTATAAATATAATATCATCTGATTGCAAAAATTATTTTACTGAAGCACTTTCAGAAACAACGAAGTTTCATAAAAATACACTTTATACATAAAGAAGTGTTTCTTATGTCTACATTCAATTATTTCATTTCATAATCTGTCACTTTGAATAGGTTACTTTCATTTAATGGAAATATTTAAAACTTTTTGTACTTGAACCACAGCCCTCGGTACATAAAGATAAACACAGGTGAGTTCGACTTCACTTATAAATACAACAGTCGCAACTATTTGTGATTAGTACGCCCGTTCCGCGTCCGTCTTTTTAATTATTCGCAAATCTTCTAGTGTACACTCAATACATATTTTTGCCAAATCTCGATACTGAGAGCGTATCAAATGGCTCCAGGAGTGATTCAGAATCCCGATACTATAATTAATAATCCCCTTGACGTCATTGCAAACAATCATAGCAGGGACTTGTTCAACGAATTTTTGGCATCGAATACGGTAATAAAGGCATGCCCAATCGATCATTTTAACGTCGAGGCTGATTTAAATGAGCAGAATGCTGTAGAAGATAAGAAACCAGAAGTGAAAAAACCTATTCGGAAGGTCATAAGGCCTAAAGTGCTTAAGAATTACGAGTCCGGAGACTATCTGTATGATCGCCTGTACGACTCTGATTGCCCTCGTGTGGTGAGTAATAAAATAACAAATACTGTTAAAAATAATAATATTTGAACATAGTTGTTGCTTCCATAACTACAACTGCTAATGTTTTTTTCAAAAACAAGCGGGATTTGAATGAGAGCGGACTCTTAAAATCCCGGTCTAATCCCTAAGCTATCAAAGGCACTATATATTTTTCTTAAATACTTTAAAATTAATTATGTATCATCTCTGTGTTTGTATTAAACGCTATTTAATTTTGTTTTTCTCATTGTTTGATGTTTTGTTGACTGGTAGAGAATGCCATGCTGGCATTAAGTCCGCCATACGTAATGTAAAAGTATTAAAGATTAAATAAATAAATAAATCTCTTTGAGTTTCACAGTATTCCAATTTATAGAAAAGGCTCAGTAGCGAATCAGATACACTAAAATTTTGACATAATAATATAACAGGAAGAGAAAGTAGACCATTCATTAAGCATTAACTGTGTTATGAAAAAAGTGAGAATAATATTGAATTTCTTAAAAAGGGTAACTGAGGGAAAAGAAAACAAAATTTTTAATGATGGCGTTTCAAGAAATTTACTTTTACGTTACTGAGTCATTAACAGTTACTTTTATATTATTCAAAATTCAGTAATAGGTAATGCTATCCAATACTGTAAAAAATTGCTTATAAGATTTGAGAAAACGCTACGCTTTATAGAAATTGAATTATTATGTTGGTGATGTTCATTCCCAAAAGGATTTGGAATTGATTCAACCCAGCTTGATGATTCTTTTATTTTTTTAAGGTTTTTAGAAAAAGTTATAACGCCATCGTTTATAAAACATTGCATAGTTTTTGATCCATAAGACGTATGATTTAGGTTATTTTATGTACACACAATCATACGTACTCATTTTATTATGTCCAAAACAAATTTACATGGCAGAGTATTAGTGAATTTACATAACAGAGACGCAAGTAAACACATAGTTTACATCTGTACAAGTGTATTTTGTTTTGAGATAATAATTAAACCTAGTGTTAGCGTGATTTTGTATAAATTGTGTAAATATGGAAAGTATAAGTTTTCGTTGTCCAATTTCAGTTTTAATAGGGCTGAAGATGTCACTTAACACTTAACTGAATCGATGTTGCTTTATTTATTTGGGAATTGTTAAATAATTCTTGATTTTTTCTGACAAAAGATTTAAAAATAAAAACTGTTAACTGTCGCTATTACGCATAGGTTCGCGTATTGACTAACATAGGTAATTAAATTGCGTTAAAGTTTAACTTATAGGCAAAATTTTACGAAATTTGTAAAAGGAAAACAAGTGCCACAATACGATCATCTTTTGGCCAAAACAATAAAATTCCTTCCAGTGGAAATATAAATCTCTGAATATAGTATTTGAGAAGTGATATCATGCCGTTCGAAGGCGTCTCTGATTTTTATTGCCGGCCGATAAGTGCGTTCCGAACATTACCGCTGTTTACATAGGACTAGTAGGAAAATAACGCGGAGAAAAAACAATGGTAGGTAGTTCTAATAGCATTCTTCACGGCGTGTTAGCGATGTGCCTGTCTTATCTGACTTTATTGTCGAAAAGGTAGCGAAAGGTTCAATTTATTGGTTCTGTTTCTTATTGGCGCCGATGTAATTTTCAGACGTTTTGGAGCCATAAATATGATTATGGATTTATATTAGAATCGAAATAGTGGTACAAAATGTATTATGAAATCATTCGACAATATGCTTTTTGTTATAAGTTTGATTGATATTTTATTTTAGTAATTGACAAAATACGTATCATAAAATCTTTTTGTTTTCCAAAACTATTCTTATAATTTTCAAATGCGCTGGCTTATTAAAACACTTCATATCAATCCAGTCGTACAAGTGAAGTAAAGAATTTGGTGCCGTTCTTTGAAAGGTGTTTGAAACATGGTCCAATATCTGTATCATTCATTGTAAAGGACATTGTTCAGCGTCCATACATAGTTAGCCTAAGAACCAACAATCATGAAATATTATTTTCTAGGTTCAAAATCGTAAGTAAATGACTGTAAAAATAAAGATTATTGACGGACACTTCTGAGAACTTAAATTATTAGGAAAACTTAAAAAAATTTGAGGTTATGTTTAATATTCAATGAAACATAGGTCAACCTATGAATTTAGTATAAACTCAGTATGAAGTGAATTAATATTACATCTAATTCAATTTATTCGGTGCGATTTTAAAGAAGAACTGTTAGGAAAAACTTGGTTGGGTAGGAATCATGAATAAAATAAAAACTAGTTTTGCTTCTTTTTTGTTGACTATTTTTCACATAGTTGTATCATATTTGAATATTGTATTTATTTGTATATCACATGTATATTGTGTAAATATGCAGCGTGAATGTGTATCGGGTGTTGTGTTCTTGAATAATTAAGCAGTATGATCCTCTCAGGATGTTGTGGCACAGGTTCACTAGCACTTGGTTATAGGGGCTCTTCTCTTTGGTAACATCGATGGCATATTAAATAGCCAAAATAGTTAAATTTAAGGAAAAACAATCGCAAATAAACACACAACAGGTAATCCGAAACGAGAATGCACTTTCCGGTATAATAAACTACTCTTTGGAATGTACGAATGCCACAGATTACTACGAATGCAAACTGCATGCACCACAACCACAGAGTAACGAGTTTTATGTCGGCCCTTCACTTGACAACAGTTTGTCCTTGTCATGCTTAATAAGGAATGAAAAGGACAGACTGATGTCATGTTTTAAAATAGCAAATACGAATAGCCAAGTGAAGTGCCGGCATTAGGAAGAAAGAGTGTTTTGTTTGCTGCGCTGCCATAGATTATACACATAAAATGGTATTTATTGTCTCAGATTATTTTTTAACTTTTTAATTTAGCTTACTTAACTGGAAGTGTCCGTCACAATCTAAATACTGATAATTATCGCAAAAAATATACTAAGAATTATCATAAATGCCAAATTGGTGTTGGTTCTTAGGCCAATTTTAACATTGTCCTTTGCCCTAAATTGTCATTAAAATATGAATATAGCCAAAGTATTAATAAGCGCATCTTAAACACGTTGAAAGAGTTTATTTAATTTTTAACGTTAACGTTTTATTTAATGAGTAGTGTGCGTGAAAACATAAGAAACAAATATGATACAACCAAAACCCAAAAAAAAAACAGAATATTTCAAATAACAAAAATTCCATCGATCTAAATAAACTATATTGCTGAAAAATGACATACAATGCTTTCAATTGAATCGAATTTCTAACTGAACCAAACTAGGCGATATACTTAAAAGAGCATAACGCAATATTTATTTCGTATTATACTTGCAGCCCAGAACTTAGTTGGCAGTAGAACAGCCCCGGGGCTTGTCGTTGAAAACTTACGACGTAAACTTGCCAGTCTCATGCGAAATATGGAGTAACTCACTCTTTTAAACATCAACCGCTTTTCACTGTATTGAGCATATTATGAGCATATTCAGTTTTACATAGATATTAAGCTTTTAATTTTCAATAGATAAAATTGTTTTTTAATATTTACCTTTTTCATTAATGACAAAATCAAATAAAGTTTTGGGAAGTCTAAGTTTTTGTGAGGCGGTTTTTATTTTTGTTAAAAATGTTTTAATTTTCCACTTTTTATAAGACCGAGCAACTTTAACTAAATCCTTTGAAAATTCTCCTTGAAACGATACCTCACAAGAAATATTTAATCCTTTAAAGTAAAAGGATAGGAAGTCGATGTAATAACTCAATCATCCTCATTATAATTTAAAAAAAATAGTGGTTAGTCATCAATTACTTGTATGAACAAATCAATATTACTTTTTACAACTGTTCTGCTACGAAAAGAGTTTTGTTCCACATCTCCGAAGTCTTTCATAAGATTATGTAAATTTTACTAGGGGAGCCCCTCGAAAGTATAATTTTGCGATTACCAAAACAATTTTGAAAATCGGGCCTTAACTGACGGAGCTATCGCGTAACAAAAAAACAAACAGTCCAATTGAATATCTCTATAATTTTGAAGTCGTTTAAAAAGAGGTAAATTTTCCGAATTTTCCGTTGATTTTGGGTTGACTTCCAAAATATGGGTGGCACATTAGGTTCATGCTGATTTCTATCAATTTGCATGTTTAACAGAGTTCCAGGCTAATTAAGATTATTTATTGAACAAATATTTTACTAGAGCTGGGTCTCTGAAAGTTGGCATATGTATCGGGGGTTCGCGTAGCTCAACTGACCCATAACATTTATTCAAGAACCCATTAGCAAGTTTAATTATACTTTCAATGATTTAGTTTTTTTAATTTCTTCTTAATTAAATGTTGTTTTATTTTCTTTTCTTGAAATATTCTGTTGAATTTATAAAAGTCATTAGATGCTTCACGATTCAAAAGATAAAAAATGCCTACTGTACCAGAAATACTTATTGTTTTCCTATTTAAACTGTTAGTGGAATGCAATTAGCTGATAAAAATAAATAAGTAAATATAAAAATAATTGTATAAAATGAGATGAACTTTATTCTTTCAAATATTAGAAAATATAGCTAACGATTGTGCGTAATTGTCAAACAACGATCTACTGGGGGCTCTCAATAGAAAAAAGTAACTATAAACATTCATGAATAGATTTTGAAAATGAATAGTACCATAATTTTTTCTTAAATAAAACTAGTTTTAACGGGTTAATGCACGAACTTTATTTGTTTATTGACGTTTCGCAGCCTTTTCAGGTCTGCATCGTCAAAATAATGATTTTTTAATTACTTTGTCGAGCTACCTTCGAAAGACTTTGGATATTTCATTGGAAGAACTTTATAACTTTATTGTGTATGTATGAATTTATTAGTTGAATTAGTTACTAAAATACTTTATTTAATATTCTTTTTTGAGAGTATTTATTTGACCCTAACTACCGTAAACTACCACCGGTTCCAAAATTGGGAGACCTTTCTGAGAAGAAACGGCGAAACAAACTCAGAGAGGCTTTCTAT